AAATGGACAGCATGTGAGTTAAATATGGGTGTCACAGCAAAGGGTCTGAATACTTATGACCATGTGATATTTCAGTTTTTCTTTTTTAATAAATTTGCAAAAATTTCTACATTTCTGTTTTTTTCTGTCAAGATGGGGTGCTGAGTGTACATTCATGAGGAATAAAATGAACTTTTTTGATTTTAGCAAATGGCTGCAATGAAACAAAGAGTGAAAAATTTAAAGGGGTCTGAATACTTTCCGTACCCACTGTATATATATATATATATAATATTATTTTAGGGCCATATAGCCCACCCCTACTTAGAAGTGATATATAACATGGAAAACCCATTGATGAAGGTGAAAAACACACATGAATTCCAATGTGACCGTTTTCTAATGGTCACATGGCCAGTGATTGGACATCTATCGGATTTAGAAGCACATATGAAAGTGGTCTAGATCTCATTGGAAAGAAATTGTATTTCTGTGTCACCACTACTTTGAAAAAGTCAGATCTGTGTCACATAAGAGCAAAAAAACTCACATTTGGGCCACTTCTGTTTGTAATGTGAACATAGCCTATGAGTGTGTGAGCCTGCTAAAATTTGCTAATTAGTATTAAACACGAAGTAGCTGAGGCAGATGGGAATGTCATTAGTTTTGCAGGTATTTCGTCACTAGGGCCCAATATTTCAAAACTCCAGATAATGAAATCCTCCTTTTTTCAGTCAGGGATCAAGGTGATCCTGCTGACTTTATCTGGGTATTTCAAAACATTGGCAGGGTGGATGACTTTGATCCCGATCTGACTGGATACGGATTTCCAAATCTCACGACTCCACCCCCGGATCTGAAACATGGCGGACTACTTCTCGAAAGGAGCAGTTGGTAACACAGATTTCACATCAAAATGTAGGTTTACCGTTATCTAATGTGTAGCGTTTTTAAGACCATACAAAGGCCACCCACCATCTCATGTGAGCCAGCTATTTGAATTGTCACCTACTTCAAACGTGGGCGTACCGATCTCTAATTGAGCCGAGATAGCTGGCTTTGTTGATGTATTTTGTGGTCTATGGTTTAATTTAAAAGGTAATTAATCTGAAGTATGTCATACATGAACTCTTTAAATACCAACCTGTTCAGAGTTTAACGTTATGTTATTGCCAACACAGCAGACTTTTTTTTTTAATTTTTACATGTGTGCAGAGCAGACTGCTGCAATATAGGAAAAATAGACAGTACCAGTAAGAATTATGCGGTTCATTATTTTGATTTACATTTTGTTTCTAATTGCTTTTTTAATACTTTGTTTGAATTGCCATGTGCTTATTATGTTAATCTGTGTTGTTTCTTGCACTCTATGGACAGAAAAGAATGTGCTATACAAATAAATTTGCTTTGCATTGCATTTCCTTGCCTTTGTCTGACCACAAAATATGTTGGATGTTTTGGTACAAACAAGTTAGGCCAAACAATATTTTTCTATGCTTGAAATTACTTGCAACTAAAACACTAATTTAGATTAAAGGGCCAGTGTGTAAAATGGGTTGAAAACAGTGACATCAGTGGTCAAATTCTAGATTGCAGGGCTCACTCGCTCACCCCTCCCGTCGGGAAAATGATGGTGGCCTCGTAGGGACAAAAAGCCTTGCGCACGACTTTTCCAGGAGTAGGTCTATCTAGCGACGAGGTGAATATTTATTTAGAAATCTAAGACATGTTATGATATTGTAATGAATCCCTCACGAGCAGGAGACCAGAGGAGCGTTCGGGAAAAAGGCCAGTTTATTTGAGCACTCCAAAAACTCCGGTAACACTCCAGGGGGTAAAAGACTCCGTCCCAAACTCTGACTCTTCTAGCGTAACAGACACACTTCATAACTTTACACACATACTCGTTTACCATACCTAGCGGGCACCCCCCTCCCCTCTCTGCTCCGCCAATCTCCAGCCCGCACACTGACTGACAGCGTAGCCTGTAAACAGAGCTCAGCTGTTTATTTGGCCTAGCAATATCTCCGGACTATAGTAGCTGCAATGGACGACTTTGAACGCGATTTTGAAGAGTTTCTTGTAGCGGACACAGACCCAGAGCCATACCTGTTTGAGCCGGAGCACACAGATGAGGAACTCCATATGTTTGATGCTGAGCGGGTGAGAAGAGAGGCTGAATGCACAGAATGGGATTCGGTGCTACTGCTACCATCGTTGGGGAGATATATCATCAGGAGGAAAAGCGCCGCCGAGAGTGCATCACAAGGAGTGAAGTTGCGTCTTCTTTTCCTCGCAGATGACGGTTCGGGTTTATTCTCTCCTGTTGCGTGGTAAGTGTGGTCCATTCACAAACTTTATAACTAAAAAAACTTTTCACTACTCTCTATCGACAAACTACTAACACTCTCTGCTGTTTCCTCCTCCTTCTTCCTTCCTTCCGCTGTCTTCGTTGGTTCATTTATACACGTGAAACGCGTTCTCTGGCTGGCTGGATTGTCCGCTCGGTCTGCCATACATACATGGCGGCGCAAGATGGCGAACTCTCTAAAGAAAGGCCCTTTATATATATTTATAAAAAAGCATAATTATAAGGCTACAAAAACCAAACAAATTTTATTTTATAGCCATTATACAGTTGTATAAACATATTAATGGGTAGAATATTCAGATTCAGATTCAGATTGACAATAAACCATGCCAAATATTACACACTGGCCCTTTAAGTGTAATGAACATCTTGAGTAACAATATCTAGGAGAAGTGGAGCTGAGGCTTTGTCAAATCCACCTCTGAGATGGGATCCACCTGAAATTTGTTATGAAATTGATCCAGATCTCTGCCTTAACTTTTGAAATACCCAAATGCAGCCTTTATCTGGATTAAAGGGATCAGGATTCTGTTGATCTGTGTTGAAATACCCAGTTTTCAGATCAGATCAGGATTTAATCCAATCTGGCCAGGATAATCCTATCAGATCACTTTGAAATACTGGGCCCTGGGGACCATAAATATTTGTACAAGATTCTATCTCAGTGAGTTTTGTAGATATTATTATATATAATTATTATATAATATTTCAGTGTTGGACCATCTCTCTATCAGACAAACCCACCTGTGTAGTTTTTCCAGAACCGGTCTCTCCCTCTACCAGCACCACCCTGTTTTCTCTGATGAGCTGGATGATCTCCTCCTGGCGTTCATGCACAGGCAGAGAGCATCGAAAACTGTCCAGTTCTGACGGATTCCTCCTCCGAGGCACCATGGGTATGCCATTGTTTAAGCGCCCGCTTGCCTTGTTCTTGTCATAACTATTATCTGATGAAAGAGCAGAAGAATATTACATGTCACTGTGAACCACACCTCTTGAGTTGACATTCTAATATTTTTTCCATCTTGAAATGCTTAGGCTTGGTTTTTTATGGTATGATGCTTTAGACTGATTGGTGTCCTGGCAGTGTTCACGCTGGAACTAGGGCTGGGTGATAATATAATCTTGAAACAGGACCGTGATGAAATTTATGAATTCAGCTCTCCAATCCAACAAATATCTGCAATAAAGTGTGCTACCAAGTGAAGATAAGCACTCTGTTTTTTTAGTTGAACAACTGACATGTCAACAAGAGAAGGTCTGACAAGTGCTGATGTTCCCCATGTAAGGACAAAAGACAGACTAAGGTCTGAGTTGGGAAAGGCTTTGGATTTGCTGAATGTCCACCAAGACAGAGAAGAGGAATGTGACACAATGTTGAAGCAGGCCTTACAGGATATACAAGAGCTTAAATCCAGACAAGAATTTCTTGACAAGGACGTTCAAAATCTCAGGGCTCAAAATGAGATCTTCAAGCAACAACTTTCTGAAGCAAGTGCAGAAAGTAAAAGTATAAGACCCCAAACGGCAACTGTGACAGAGTAGTATAGCATGGTGAAGACAGCTGTAGCCCACCAGCTACATGCACTTGAAAATCTGGAAAACAAAGACAGAGAGAGAAATCTTATCTTCATAGGGGTGGCGTAGAAAAAAGGAGAGAAATGCTGGGAAAAGTATGCAGCTGATGTTGAAGACATATTAATGGAGATACGGTGCCCTGGTGTTGTTCCTGCAAAAATTATGAGGCTTGGGAAACCAAGGGATGAAAATTCACCACCTCAGCCTTTGTTGGTGATTACTAATACCATAATAGAGGCAAGGACTGTGTTGGATAATGCCAGGAAGTTTAAAGACTCTAAGGAAGACCGCAGAAAAGTTTAGGTGATGAAAGATCTACACTACATGGAGGCGAGATTTTGTGAAAGCTGAGAGGGCAGCTCCTGCTAATGTTCAGCGTACAATCAGAGTGGACTACCCAAAACGCACTGTAACTAGAGATGGGAAGGTGGTCTGTAAGTTTGTGTCATCTTTTCAGCAATTGGGTCCAAACATACAAGACTCAGGTTCTGGAATGTCAATGGGTTGAGTAATAAGCTGGAAAACGTAAATGTGATATGGTGGCTACGGGACCATGACATAAATTAAAAGAGCTCATGTGACCCACACCCCTGGATTTATACCTATGGTAGCCAAAAACCAAAATAGTCAGAGAGGAGGTGCTGTTGCACTGTTCAAACATGATATGTATACTGTAACAGTTATGTCAGCTCAAGGGCAAATTTGGTTTCAACTGCAGAGTGTTCCCAGTGTTGTGTTTGGTGGAGCCTACAGTATATACCACTGATTTACCTTTTTTCTGTAATGTAAGCTTTTCAGAAATCCAGACTAGAACTCAGGACAACACCATGGACTATGCCGTGGTTAGTGACATGAACACTCAGTGTGGAAACAAGGTGAAAGAGCTGCTTGAAGATAGTAATAATATGTACTACAAGCCTCTTGATGACACAGTAAATAGCAATGGAAGGAGTAGTATTCAAGTTTGCAAAGATAATGATCAATTGGTTGTGAACAACTTGCACACAGCATCTTACTCCTTCCCTGGTTCCCAAACCTAACGCAAGAGCGAAAAATGAATTTCAGAAATGGATTACTGTTTAATCTCTGCTCGCTAAATTAACTGTGTTAACAGCTTTAAAGTGAACCAAAACACTGATATGCCCTCTGATCACGCCCCATGTCTATAGAACTTGTGTTCCCTGAAGAAATTATTAATGCAAAGATATTGTTACAGTGTGCTCAAGATTTATGTATGCATTCTATTGTGACTCAGTCTGACAGCCCCAGTGCCTTTCATGAATATCAATACAGATCAGTTTGCTCTCAATGTAAATTCACTGGAAGTACCCAACATCAGCTTCGACCAGAATGTGGATGCCATGACTATATGGTTGGCAGATTCTTTGTATACCTGCGCTGCTCGGAGCAAACTAGTGGGCCCTAGACCTTTGGCACACTATTTGCCCCGGAACCAGAAAGCACTTTTACCTCGATGGCAGCATACAATCAGGTCCATAATTATTTGGACAATGATACAGTTGTCGTCATTTTGGCTCTGTACACCACCACAATGGGTTTTAAATGAAACAATGAATACCTGCTTAAAGTGCAGACTCTCAGCTTTCATTTAAGGCTTTTTTCAAAAATGTAGTATGAACCGTGTAGGAATGACAA